TAATCCAATATGGCTGACGTCCTTTCCAGAAGAGGAAGATGCCACGTGAAGACAGACACGTGGGGAGAATGCTGTATGACAGGATCAATGCAGCCACAAGCCAGGGAACACCAAGGGTCAGTGGCCACCAGCAGAAGCAGGAAGAGGAAGGGAAGGATTTTACCCAGAGCCTCAGGGGGAGCATGGCCCACCTGATGCCATGATTTGGGACTTGCAGCTTCCAGAACCACGAGAGAAGAAATTCCTACCATGTGAAGGCACACATGCGGAGACTAATACAGCCTGTGAAAGGAAGAGGTGGGGTGAGCAGAGGCAGAAGCCCGGCTCCCCTGCAGGACCCACGAAGCGGGCCCGACTTGGCCAGGAGCTGCCCCACCATTCGGTCACAGGATGTGGGCAGCCCCGGGGAGGCCATCGCCTCGCTGAGGTGGCTCTTGACAGGGGCAGACCCTGACGGAGCAGATAGGAAAACGTAGATTCTCTTGATGATTTGAAAATAGAATAACTAACCAAATATACATGGCATGAACTGTTGTCATTACTAGGAAGAAGAAAGTGGAATTGCAAGTCGGATTAATCCAGCAAAGAGGAAATGAATAAAAATAAATGTGGCAACAATAAATGTAGTTAATAGTAAATAAATATATTGGAAGCAAGCCAGATACAATCCTATCGCAATAGATGTGAATTTGTTAAAATCCCCTTTGAGGGGCGCCTGGGTGGCGCAGTCGGTTAAGCGTCCGACTTCAGCCAGGTCACGATCTCGCGGTCCGTGAGTTCGAGCCCCGCGTCGGGCTCTGGGCTAATGGCTCGGAGCCTGGAGCCTGTTTCCGATTCTGTGTCTCCCTCTCTCTCTGCCCCTCCCCCATTCATGCTCTGTCTCTCTCTGTCCCAAAAATAAATAAACGTTGAAAAAAAAAAAAAAATTAAAAAAAAAAAAATCCCCTTTGAAATGGCAGACTCTTAAATTAGCAAAAACAAAACAAAACTCCAGTTTCAGGCTAGTTTTAAGGAACACAGATAAAACAAATGACAGCTAAAAAAGTTCAACGGACAAAGATAAGCCAAGTGTATGCAAGTAAAAGGAAAACAAGTGTACATGAACCACAATGGAACTCAAAACTAAAATTATTAAGTAAGAAAGGATCCTTTTCAAAGTCAAGAGGATATTTCACCAGGACACTATTACACATAGATTATACACTAGTCAGCATTGTTGTGGAAAATTTAAGGCAAACAAATAAAACAAAAAAAATTATAGGAGAATATGATAGAACTATAACTATATTATCGTAAGCCAGCCAGGAATAAACACCCTTATTGAAACATCTTTAACGTTCTAGAACTTTCATTTCTCTGAGAAAGAATCTTAGAAGTTGGGCCGAGCTTGGTCAGTGCATTAATGGTTCTTTTTGAAGGGCCGTTGCTACATTCCTGTCTAGAAAAAGGTTGAAGCCGTCAGTCGAATGGCGCAGGAAGAGTCCTTGATTATTGACATACTTGTCAGCATTGGACGTTCGCCATCTTTAAAATGTTTTCCAAGTTGGTGGGCAGGTAGTAGCATCTCAGTTATTATAATTCGTGTTCTCTTACCACTCAGCAGGCTTATCCCTTTCACAGGTTTACCGGTGATCTAGATTTTCAGTTCACAACCTTCACTTATTTTCATCCTGTGTGGTCTGTCTTTTCCTTCGTAATCAATTTGTAGAGTTTCCTAGTACGTTAGACACTAACCCTGTCATGTGAGCTGCAATGTAGTACGAGCAGGGGAGGGGCAGAGACAGAGGGAGACACAGAATCCGAAGCAGGCTCCAGGCTCTGAGCCATCAGCACAGAGCCCGACGCAGGGCTCGAACTCAACAAACTGCAAGATCATGACCCGAGCCGAAGTCGGATGCTTAACTGACTGAGCCACCCAGGTGCCCCTACCGTCTGCATTTTTAATGAATTCCAACGGACTCAGTCTGGAGCTCTTACCTCTTTTATTTTATACTTATTTACAAATATTCAAAATCCTACCCTAGTTCATGACCTTTAACTTTGACATTATCAAATTTAAAACAAATGACAAGCAAAGAGAAACGAAGTTTGGTGAATGTCAGCATGCCTCGGGGGGCAGAACAGAACCTGGGATATATGGTTCGTGCTATTGATTGCTGCCTGTGGTTCAGGGTTTGAAGAGCATTAATGTTTCCCTTACTGTTAAGTGTGGAGTGCTCATTGCGTAACCCTTGGAGAATGTAGAAAAAATATAAAAATGGAAACCCGAAGCATTCATAATCCCATCGTCCACAGATAATCACCAGGGCTTCTGTGAATTTCTTTCTTCCTTCTTCCAGGCACATATAGAAATATATAGAATTGTACATAATCTCTCTAAAACGTACTCATCTTGGCTCCCATAGTTATGAATGATGCACTTTAACTGGTTCAGGAGCATAGCAGGTCTAGGAACAAATGGTAATTACCACTCTGTCCATTTCATTGCCCATTTGCAGTTTACCAGAACATTCCCAAGCGTCTCATTTGCCTCCCCTGCACAGATGTCCCAGTGAAGAGGTCCGCGTGACCTTTGTTCAACATCGCCCTAAGAAAAGTCGTAGAGTACAGGCAACATTTCATGGCATCCTTTTATCATTATTGCCTGTTTTGTAATGTCTTAGAGAAATTGCTTTTTAAAACTGGAAGTTTACCTATTTCTCTTCTCCTCTTTTCTGCTGTCCATTCAGGGGTGACCTACAACATAATACAAAGGATCATTTCATCATCTGTCCTGCAGTCAAGCCCGTTAGTCAACCCCTCCCTATGGTGGGTTTTCCAAAGACCCTTCATTGTTGCTCTTGGAAGTTTCTCGGTTTTCAGAGCTGCCAAGTCTTCGAGGTTTAATGACTCCATGGCATCCTTTAGGGAACTCTTCATTCTGTTGCTTCTGTTACACCGTTGACGGGTAAAGAAAACCGTGCCCTTACTGTCATTAGCGCGTAATAAATGGGAGACATGCACATACCCTAGTGAGAAATGGGGTAGAGCTTCAGACAGATGATCCACCACAGGAGTTCAAACAACCAAGTAAACATGACAGAGTTGTCTGTTTGCTTTGAAACATACACAGGCAAAATTAGATGATATTTTTGCCCAGAATTGGCCAAGTGTTTTATTTGATTTTAAATGATGACCCTTGCTGCTGCGAGAGATACAAAGTTAGATATATTTTACCCAGTAAACATCGTTCTGTGAATCTTTAGCGGCTCTGATGGACTTGCCGTTGGAAATTCTAAGAACACAGAAGACAGTTTTACTCACAACAAAAAGAAAGCATCCTGAATGTCCGTTAATAAATATTGAACTATGATGCATTTTTATGATAGTTATTCAGATGTTAGACCTTTTTCCAATTAATATTTAGTGATGCAGACAATGTTTATATAAAGCAAAAAGGGCCCAAGTACAAAGTTGTATGTAATGTATGACCCCAGTTTTGTTAAAAAATAAACACACATTTGAAAAAGATCCACTGGTAAAAAAAAAAAAAAAAAGACAAAGATCCACTGGTGAAATAAGTGAATATTCACAGGTAATAGGATTAAAGGTGATAGTTTTACTTTTCTTTTTCTTATTCAAATAAAATACTTGTTTTACTTTTCATAGGGAAAAAACATCATGTGAAATTTTCTTTTAATGTTTATTTATTTTTTGAGAGAGAGAGAAAGAGAGAGAGAGAAGGAGCCGGGGAGGGACAGAGGCAGAGGGAGACACAGAACCCGAAATGGGCTCCAGGCTCCGAGCTATCGGCACAGAGCCCGATGTGGGGCTTGAACTCATGAGGTGTGAGATCATGACCTGAGCTGAAGTCAGATACGTAACCGACTGAGCCATGCGGGTGCCCCACAGACATTATTTTTAAATTTGAACCCCAGACATTATTTTTAAATTTAAAAAGTATGTTTAGTTTTTAAAATGACTGAAAGATCATGAACACTTACACATTTGATTAAAAAAAAATCAAGGAACCTTCCCCATATATTATGAAACTTAACTCCAAGTTAGTTTGCAGAGTTTTGGGAGTAGTCTGGTTATGTCAGGAAAATGAAAACGTGGCATATTCAGTAGTGTTTTACATCTTAAAAAGGGCTTAAAATGCACGTGGAGATTATGTCTATTGAAGTATGTACAGTCTAAAAGTCTTTTTCATTGATGAAGGAGATTGTGTTGAGTTAATGACATGGCCATTTATTCCATGCCAACTATATCTAATGTTACCACGCCGCTGGCACCTTCCAAAGAATCCTGCGTACATTGTGATTGTTGGTGTTGGACCCCTCAGTTATGTCTTGATCACCTTCCTTCAGGGGATCAGCTCTCTTCCCATGCATAAAACACCCAAGGAGATGGAATCAGATGCTGCCTGCATTGATCTGATGGTGTGTTATTATCTTTCTTAGCAATTTATTCATTCATTCATTCTATAAATATTTACGAAGCACTTACTGTATGCCGGGTACGGTTTAAGTGTTAGAGGTACATCGTTGAACAAAACAGACTAAAGTCCCTGCCTCTGTGGAGTTTAAATTTTCAGGAGGAGACAGACTGAAACAAAAACCCACTGTAATAAATAAGGAAACTCTATTGTATGTTGGATACTGATGAGTGCTATGGGTGAAAAAGAAAGAAAGGGAGAGAGGAAGGAAGGGAGAGAGAGAGGAAGGAAGGAAGGAAGGAAGGAAGGAAGGAAGGGTAAATAAAAGAAGGAAAGAAAGGAAGGAAGGAAATAAAAACAAAAGAAGGAAAGGAAGGAAAGAGAAGGAAGGAAGGAAAGAAAGAAAGAAAAGAAAGAAAGAAAAAGAAAAGAAAAAGAAATTAAGGAGACTTAAGGGGAATCAGGAGTATGGGGTATTGGGGCAGGGAGGTACCAAATAGGATATAGTTTAAAATAGGATCATCAAGCTAAGCATCAGATACAAGTTGACATTTGAACAAAGACCTGAAGGAGATGAGCAGGTACCTGTGGAAGACTGTTCAGGCAGTGGGAATAACTCAAGCAAAAAGCTTTAGTGTAGCAGCATTCTGGTGTTGGAAAAAAAGCAGAGTACGTGAAGCAGGGGAATGGAGGGGGAGTTCAGAGGTGCTAAGGTCAGAGGAGGAATGGGAAGAGGGTGGGTAGATCGTACAGGACCACATCCACCATTGCAAGGACTTTGGCTTTTACCCTGGATGAAATGGGAAACCACTGTAGGGTCTTAAGAGAAAAGGGACTTGGTATGATTAGGTTTAAAAACAGATCACTGTGGCTGAGAATAGATTGCAGATGGGTGTGGATGGCCCTAGCAAGCCCTGTTGAGAGACCGAGAGGAGGTAACACATGCTCCAGACTATGGTGGCTCTGCTCATGAACACAGAGCAGGAGTGGTGACAGGTGACTGGATTCTGGATGTCTTTCAGAGGCTTTGCTGGCAGGTTGACTATGTTGTAAGAGAAGGAGGACTCTAAGATTTGGGGCCTGAACAGCAAGAGGTTGGAGATGCCATTAACTGAGATGGCAAAAGTCCAAGGAAAGGAAGGGAGGGAATATCAGGATTATGGTTTTAGATTTGCAAATTTGGAGGTTTCTGGTAGATATCCACATGGAGATGTCAAGAAGACTATTGGATATGCAACTCTGGAGCCCAGAAGAGAGCTCCAGATGGTATTTGGAGACTCTCAAGAAAGTATGGATAGAGAAGAGAACCAAGGAGTCAGTCCTGGGGATGCCTGGGTGGCTCGGTCGGTTAAGCGTCTGACTTTGGCTCAGGTCATGATCAGGTTTGTGAGTTCAAGTCCCACAGCGGGCTCTGTGCGGACAGCTTGGAGCCTGGAGCCTGTTTCATATTCTGTGTCTCCTTCTCCATCTGCCCTTCCTCCACTTGCACTCTCTCTATCTCAAAAATGAATAAAAACATTTTTAAAAAATTTTTAAAAAAGGAGTCAGTCCTGGATACTCCAATATTAAGAGGTTACAGAGAAAGAAAGGGAGAACCGTCTAAGTAGACTGATAGGTCAGGCAGAATGGGGACTTAGAGTTAGCCATTGGATTTGGCAGCATGGAGGTCCTTGGTGATTTTGATGAAAACGTTCACAGTGTAGTGGGGAGAGCAAACCCCTGATTGAGGTGCATTAAAGAGAGAATATGTGAAAAGGAATCGGGGGTTGAGAGTAGAAACATCTTTTTCAAGGAGTTTTGCCGCAAGGAGGAAGTGGAATCCAGAAAAGGCTTTTATTTTGTTAAGGTGGAAGAAATGGCAGAGCGCTGATGGGGTAGAAATAGAGTGAAAAATTGAAGCCGCCGAGAGGAAGGGGAGAATCGTAGGAACGAAGTCCTTGAATAGGTGACAGGCTCTGCTCAGTTTACATAAGCTTTTCTTGTTTTAGAATTACTAACTGTTGTCACATTCATTGCCAGCATTTCCGCCTTGTTGCTTGCCTTTTAATACGTTCATGATCTATTTTGACATTAAGTCGAGAAATTTGAGCGGTCAAATCAACTAAACTTTTTTATTGTGTAACTTTTATGTGTATAAAAATGTTTGCCTACGCAAGGATCCAATATTAGTTAAATACCTATATATTCGTATGAAGTAATTGCGTAATTTGAGCTTTTCCAGGGGCATGACCTAGCCTTTGGTTTGCCTTTTTGTTTCAATGAGCCTGAGACCTTTCAGGTATTATAATTCCACTTATACATTATTCAAACCTCACCAAAATATTATGAAGGGACTAAAAAATCAATTATTTTTTCAAAAATGTTTATTTCGAGTTGGGGGAGGGGAGGGGGTGAGAGAGAGAGAGGGAGAGAGAGAGAATCCCATTGTGGGGCTCCATCTCATGAACTGTGAAATCACGACCTGAGCCTAAACCAAGAGTCAAACACTTAATTGACTGAGCCACCTGGGTGCATTGAAAATCAATTATTTTTTAATTGTATTAAGCAGATATAGTGTGGGAAGCACTAGCATCTGAAACACCTGTCCATATTATAGTTGATGGGTTATAATCCAGTTAGTTACATGGACACAAATGGAAATACAGATTTGTCTAAGAGAGTGCTTTGATGGGTGGGCAGTCATAGGTCTGGTGAGGTTAGTTTACCATGATCCATTCTTTAATTTCCTTGGATGTTTTTTTAGTCCTTTCAAGCATGTAGGAGTCTTTTAGTCCCAATGCAGAGAAATGGCTAGCAAATTCTTAGGTTTAATCCACACCATATTTATTAAAAGCCCAAGATTTAGAGGTGCCTGGGTGGCTTAGTTAGGCCTCCGACTTCAGCTTGGGTCATGATCCCATGGTTTGTGAGTTTGAGCCCCGCGTCAGGCTCTGTGCTGGAGCCTGCTTCCAATTCTGTGTCTCCCTCTCTCTCTCCTCTCTCTCTCTCCCTCCCTCTCTCTCTCTCTCTCTCTCTCTCTCTCTCTCTCTCTCTCAAAAATAAACATTAAAAAAAATTAAAAGCCCAAGATTTAAAATCTGCTTCAACAACCTAATTATCCATCAGTAGATGAATGGGTAAGGTAGATGTGGTACACACACACACACACACACACACACACACACACACACACACACTGAACTGTTACTCAGCCATAACACAGGATGAGATCTTGCCATTTGCAACCATATGGATGGACCCAGAGAGTGTAATGCTAAGTGAAATAAGTCAGAGAAAGTCAAATACCAAATGATTTCACCAATACGGGGAGTCTAAAGAACAGACGAATAAGCAAGCAAATGCAGAAGCAGACCCTTGAATCTAGAGAAGAGACTGATGGTTGCCAGACGGGAAGGGATGAGGGGGACAGGTAAAAATGGGGACGGGGAGGGGGATGTACAGGCTTCCAGAATGAGTGACAGGGATGAAAAATACAGCATAAGGAATTTGGTCAATGGAATTTTGATAGTGTTATAGGGAGACTGAGGGTAGCTGCCCTTGTGAGCAGAGCAGAGCATCCAGACTTGTCACATCACTGTGTGGTATCCCCAAACCTAATATAACATTGTGTCCGTTATACTTTAATTAAAACTTTTTCTTCTTAAAAAAATAAAATAACATGTGTTTCAAAGGGTTACAAGAAAGTCAGAAGTGTTAACCTTCCTTGGTGTATCCTAAGAAAAGACCCTTAAATGTCACGGTTCTGGATTAAGTAGTTCTTCTCGTTTGCCAGATGAGTGGCTATAAAAATTAAGGTGAATTAAAAGGTAAGATACAAAAATCTTAGCCTTACAAAGTGAAAAGGACGCATGTTTAAACATCTTACATATTCCAGTGAGACAAAAATATTTTCTCTAAAAGCATTGAAAGAAGTCACATAGGGAGTCAATAGTGTTGTGCATGAAAAATAGAAAACTCTATGTCATAATTATAATATGAAAGACAGCAGCATGGAAAATATTAATAACGTGCTTGGATACAGATGAATAACCTTGATACATAAAAATCAATAAGAAAAACACTAGTAATAATAACCATAATGGGTAAAAATCAATAACTAAAACACTAAGAACCCAGTACATAAGCAGACACAGTAATAGAAAACTCAAAAGATGAGCGGCTCCTGGGTGGCTCAGTTGGTTAAGTATCTGACTTTGGCTCAGGTCATGATCTCGTGGTTCGTGAGTTCGAGTCCCTCATCAGGCTCCGAACTGACAGCTCAGAGCCTGGAGCCTGCTTTAGATTCTGTGTCTCTCTCTCTCTCTCTGCCCCTCCCCTGCTTGTGCTCTGTCTCTCTCTGTCTCTGTCTCTCTCTCTTTCAAAGATAAACATTTTTAAAAATTTAGAAAACTCAAAAGAAATACAGGAAGGTTAAAAAAGGCAAAAAAAAAAAGGTATGCAAGCCATCTTAACGTTTACTAATAATTTTCAGAAGTGCACATTAATATCAAGAGATGCTTTCTTTCACCTCTGAAATTAGCAAAGATAATTAAAATGGTAATAGTCACTGAAAGCATGTAATGAAACAAGCACCCACTCACCGAAGATAGTGTGAATGGGCATATGCTGGGAAAGAAAGTTACTATTCTTCTAATGACCTTGATATTCTAGGAATCTAAGAAAACACTGAAATTGGACAAAAATAGATGCACAAAATAATTCTTGTTGTATTATTTGTAGGCGTAAAACCCTTGGAGCGCCTCACCTGTCCTTTAACGTTAGCGTTGTCGAAGGTGAAGGACTAACATGCAGTTGTGTTCACACACTGGCGTGCCCTGCAGCCAGAGACCATGATTATTCCTACAACGAGATGTTTATAATCAAACGGGAAAACACGTATTACCGAAATGTCTTTGAAAACTGCTGGGTGAAAGTGGTATCGTAACATTCTTAGCATAAAACTACGGGGAACCAAAGGTGATAACATAGAAGCCCAAATGTGAAGAGTGGAGTTGCCCAAGGGCAGTAGAATTGAGTACTTTTTTTGTCCTGATTTATATTTTTTGGTACTTTCCAGATACTTTTAGAGGAAGCGTCTATAATCAGAGGAGGCTTTTTTTTTTTAAGACTTTATAGAAAGAAACTTGTGCGTATGATTTGGGCTTGGACTTCTATACTATCTTTCTTAGAGCATATGGGAGCAAGTATTCTACCAAAATGGTTTAGTGGTAAAGATTTATTTTGTAAAGACTGGGGAACACAGATTTTTTTCTTTTTTCTTTTCCTTTTTTTTTTTTTTTTGTTAGTATTCTGAGAAATCTCTTCCTTTCTTGGAGATCAGAGTGATAACAACACAGATGTAATTAACCGAAGCGGATTCTCCAGGTAACAGTATTATTAGCATATGGTGTTTCAGAGCCGAGTGGTAAGTTGACACGGGTACGTTTTTCTCCTGTAGATGTCGTCTGCTGCTGAAAATGGAGATGCAGCATCTGGAAAACAGAACGAAGAAAAAACTTACAAAAAGGTGAGTGACTGTTTTGTTTTCTTTCTTCGGTTCAGAAAGAGGAACGCGGTCGTTGCCTGGAAAGTTGCATATATCCGAGGCCTTGTTTCCCTCTAAAGCAGTTGTGTGTAAATTACAAACTTAGTTTCCTGTTGCCCTCACGGATTCAGTGGTTCAAACGACACAGAGGTATTGTCTTGTAGGACTACAGGTCACAAGGCCAACATGGGTCTCCCTGGGCCAGGATCCAGGTGGCTGTAGGCTGCGTTCCTTTCGGGAGTTTCTAGGGGACAGTCTGTTGTTCCCTTGTCTTTCCAGCTTCTCCAGGTTGCCTGTGTTGCCCGTTATCATGATTCCCTTCCAACCTCAAAGATGGCAAAGACCAGCTGAGTCTCTCTCAGGCTGTATCACTCTCACACTTCAAAGAACTCTTGTGATTACGCTGAGCCCTCATAGATAATTCAGAATAATCCCTTTTTTAATTATTACTAGTTTTTTATTTGAGAGAGAGAGAGAGAGAATATCCCAAGCAGGTTCCACAGTCCGTGCAGAACCCAATGCAGGGCTCGATCCCCTGACCCTGGGAACATGACCTGAGCTAAAACCAAAAGTTGAACGCTCAACTGACCGAGCCACCCAGGTGCCCCAATCCCTTTATTTTCAAGTCAGCTGATCAGCAACCTTAATTTCTTTTGCAACCTTAACACCTCCTTGCCATATGATGTATTCACAGATCGCCATGGGACGTGGACGTCTTTGGGGAGGGGTGGTTTTTCCATGTTGTACATCATTGACAGTTACTATGCTATATAGATCATTGACAGAAGGTGGTTATTTGAAGACTCTTGTAACTCTTAAGAAGAAGGCCCTTATGTGTGTGCAGTGTTCTGTGTCCAGTATGTGAATCTTTTTTTAAATAATTTTTTTAGATGTTTGTTTATTTTTGAGAGAGAGAGAGAGAGAAGGTGATCAGGGGGAGGGGCAGAGAGAAGGGGACAGAGGATCTAAAGCAGGCTCTGTGCTGACAGCAACAGCCCGATGCGGGGCTGAAACTCACAAACTGCAAGATTATGACCTTGAGCCGAAGTCACACGCTTCACCAACTGAGCCACCTAGGTGCCCCCAGTATATGCATCTTTTAATTGACTTGCTACTTCCCACCAAAATTTTACACACTTTCTACCTTTGTATTTAAAAAAAAAAAAAAAATTTGTAGTATGAACTTTTGTCCCATCCCTTTGTAAGCCTCTCAGATTCTGTGCCTTCAGCCCATTTCACAAAAATCCCCTTCCAGACATTCCAGTGTATCTTACCTTGCCATTCTTTGACTTTGATAAATTCTTGGCTCCTGGCGAGGAAGCTAATGTTCAAACATATTACTGGGGAGTATATGTTCCCAGGCACCACTGCTCCTGATTTTAAATAGACTGCACATTTTACTTTTAAAAGTCCTTGCCCTCCTTCTGTCTTGCGAGTAGGAGGTTTGTATATGCAAGGTCTATTATATCTTAACTTTTCCTTTTGCTTTTTACTCTTTTGTGGATAGCTAGCAAGAACTTTTGCCATAAAGTACAGGAACCACCTGATCCAACTGCATATTCGAGTCATGGAATTAACAGGATATATTTCCTGTTCCGTTTTTTTTTGTGGGAGAATATGCCCCTTTTCCTGGTACAGCTTCTGACTTGCCTACTCAGCCAAACCTAGAAATACAAGCAGGGAGTTTCTGTCCAAAGTGATGATGTGGTGGGGGCAGAGTAGGGTGAAGTTTCCGGAACTAAGAAGTGTCATGTTATATCATCTCAAACATGCGAATCTGGCCAGAGGCAGTGACGTCTCTGATAGCATATTTGACTCAGCAGCATTGGTAAGGTCTTAAGAACCGAAAGTCAGATATTAAGATCACAAAGAATTCCAGTAAATAAGAGAAGATTATTTAATCCTGGAGGATTATTAACAGGACAGAGTTTTTTTTGTGCGTGGCGGCAACCGGATGCTTCGAATGGTCTCTGATTTTCAGACGAAGATGAGCGGTGGAGGGAGAGGTGTTTAGCTTCTCTGAGAAAAACACCAAAAAGCATAGTTCCTGAGTCTTCAGTCCTCAGTAATTCGGTGTTGACGTGCACAGGAGGAAGAGGGACTACTCAGAGAAAGTATCGCTTCGGTAGCAGGGGACGGCTCTGCTGAACTACTCCATTGAAGTCTTCTCCATGGAGCAAAGACATCGTCACACTGGAGGTGTTAATCACAGCGTTCCCAGAGGTGGCTGGGGTCTCCTTAGCTATTGGAAATGTGTTTGTCTCTAGGCCCAGATGGACCGTTCCCCCGAATGAAAGAGCTTCAGGCTCACGTAGGGAAACCCCTGGGTGTGAGCTCTGAAAAAGTGGGACAGGGCAGGAGACGAGAAGATACCATCCCTCTTTTCAAAAGTGAGGAAAAAGTACCTTCTGGAAACCAGATGTGAGACGGCTCCTCGGCATAATTGGAGCACGGATTAGTCAACATATGGTTTCTGTACAGTTAGAGAGGAAACACATGTCTCGTACAAACCTGCAGAGGTTCATCAAGATATAGTTTATGCCAAGTTGACTACATTTCTTATTCTGAGAGAGTCATTAAATTAGTCACAGACAAGAAAGAACTCTCAAGTTGAATGAATCTTGATTTGAGGGCACCAGGAATATTCTGGTGGCATCCTTTCAGACCAGCCGGAGAAGAATGGAGTGAACGTCATGGTGACTGGGCTCGTACCTGGTTGAACTAATGTTCCCAACGGATTGCAGTTTTGTTTCCTGTTCTTTGGTGTCTCCCAGCCTGTGCACGCGTTGACCCTGGGCAGCTTAATACTTTTTTGCGCATGACCTTAATGAAGACATGGAATTCGTGCTTCGCAAATGTGCAAATGACAAAACAGCTTGAATAGGTAACTAACAGACCACACGAATGTCATCAAGGCCACCATGCATTTCATTAAGTATTGGCCCTTTTACAAATGCTTGAAAGAGTTCTTTCCCAGTCCTGCGGGCCTGCCCATGAGGTATGCACCTTTTTAATAAGGAGTTTTGATAATTCGTTAGGTTTTGGCCTCTGACTAAAGACAGTCCAGGTTAAGAACCCCCTGACCTGTGTGAGGCATGGGAAGGATATCAAAGGAGTTTATAAGGATCTTACAGTTGAGTGGGAGGGACAAGACAGGAGTTCTCTCCTTTAGAACCCAGTAGTTAATAATAAAGGGTTCAAAGGAGGAGAAATCACTGTGGGTTAGAGTCATCAAGGAGGCTTAGGCTTCCTGTATCAAGCCCCAGATTTACTGGGCAGCTGTCAGTAGCACTCAGCATCATGAGGAATGGGATTTCCACATGTTTTTAGGGAGCCCTTGGTGTCCATGGAACAATGTTATAGTCTCGAGTCTTGAGTACTTGCACATGACTAGTTAAGCTGGGCTCTTCTGTTCGTTCTGGTGACCATTTCCCTGATCCATTGTCAGTTCTTGACAACCCAAGAAGAATAGCTAAAATCAGTGGGTGAGGCGAATATCTTCAGCTAAAGGCTGCAACAAGAATTTTGACTTTCCCTGCTTAACACGAACATGTGGCCCATAAGACAAGCGTTAAAGGCTGCCTGGCTTTTTTTACAGAGTGTAGTATTTCCCTTCTCAGTTCGTTTATGGAAGTGTCTTCCAAAAGAATTGTAAACATAAAAGCCTACGGCAGCTAAGCAGGTAACAGGGGAGTGAACTAACCAGGGGGGGATGTGGTAAAGAGGAGACACATGTCTTCTGTATTTTTTTTTAATTTTTTTTAATCTTTGTTTATTTTGAGAGAGAGACAGAGTGTGAGCAGGGGAGGAGCTGAGGGGAGGGAGCCACAGAATCAGAAGCAGGCTCCAGGCTCTGAGCTGTCAGCCTCCGAGCCCCGCCTCGAACTCATAAACCGCGAGACTGTGCCCTGAGCCCAACCAACTGAGCCACTTAGACACCCACCGTACAGTTTATTGAAGGGGAAAAAAAGACATAGATGCACATGGAAAATTAAGTAATGACCCAAATTGGTATTAAGTGCCAAGGCAAGTGGCCTTTCACATAATCTTCTAGCAAATACTGGTGAGGCCAAAGCTCATTACAGTCTTCTAGAGAAAAGTCCTTTTCTTCAACTTGTTCATTAGCAGTGCATTTTGCTGGGATGAAAATTTTATAGATGCCTCATTGCTTTCTGTCACGATGGAAAAATGCCACTCCTTAGGTGACTGTGAATTGATTTACCTACTCATTTGTTTCACTGATGGGGGGAATCTGATGAGCACAGGCACAGAATCAGGGCTGAACGTGATTTGTTGGAGGGATCGAATAGCCCGGCCTGGACAAAGCCAAGTGTCAGTGTTTAGGGAAAGCGCAGGCGATTTAGGGGGTAAAGACTGGCTGTAAATGACAGGTAACCTTGAAAGCTAGTTTGAGTTTGGATTTTGTGTTCTAGGCCAGCACTGTGCACTAGAACTTTCTTCAGTGATTGAAACGCCCTGTAATCTGCACTAATACAGTAGCGACAGGCTGCATCTGGGTGATGAGGATTTGAATTTGTGTCCAGTTTGTCCAAGGGATGAATTTTTAATTTTAGTTAAATTTCTATTTAAATCAGTGCTTGTGGCCAACGGCTACCATGTTGGACAGCTGAGTCGCAGACAGTGAGGTACCATGACGTGGTTTGGAGACGAATGACGACAAATCTCAACTAAGGCTGACCTGAAAGGTTTCAGAGTAACTACTAGAAATTTTCTACTACTGATAGTAATGTGAGGAAGAGTTGTTTTTTTTTTTTTTTTTT